ATATTTAATTAACTACGATTAAGTATTATTGCTGATGCATAATATATTCTTATTGTCTATTACTACTGCAGTGTAAAATCTATTATACTAAACTAGGAAATCTATCTAAATAATGCTAAAATGAAGTCTATCTATTGTAATATTTCGATTAAATTGAAACCAAGTACAAAGGGAATTGGTTAGGAAATTACATTTACTTAAAATTACTGAGATTCAATTTACCGTGATCCAACGATACTCTATATTATTACAGCTTCAATAGTGATTATTAAAACAGGGACAATTATAATGTTACTAGACTCTTAAGTTATAAAAGCTGTGCACGATTAAAAATCGTTATTTTGTGAACGGAGTTTAAAGTAACGAAAAGAGATTAAAGTTGTTTTCTACAAATATTTCGTGATGTACAAACGATTTATTGGTTCAGTAAACGTTAAAAATTTCTAAAATTACTTCGAAAAAATTCGAATATTTTTACTTATTAATTTCGAAGTCCTAAATAACTCAGAATCAATCGATTTACTATACGTTGATACTAAATCGTAAGTTTTATCAAGACATCAACCTTTTTTTTTTTAATTAACTCTCATATAACAAGTGTAGTACATTATGTTAGTATAGTATTTTATTATTATACTAATTGTCTATTGTTATTAGAAAGACCTTGTGTCGTATCATTTGTACGTAAATAGAGTTGACATAGATTATTAGTATATTTGGCTTTGAATAAATGGTAATATGCACTAATCGTATATTATATTCTAAAACAAAAACTATACAAAATGTATTTCGAATAAAAAGATTCAACGCAAAAGCGTACGAATAAGACTTCATGTCACACGAGTGAATGTACGAATTGTTTGTTTAGCACTGCCGCACTGGTGGCGATACTGTTGTCATTTAATTTAATATTTGTTTTTGTGTTTGAGATACGAATACGTTTTTTTTATGTTTCACACATTTGTTTGATTAAATAGTATATGATTTTTAAGATTTGAACACCAGTAGTTGTTCAGTTTATATAGATTACAATTTAAAGGTTTTTATTTAAAAAAAAATAATGGTCTTAGAAAAATATAAAATAAACCTAATATTTATTATAGTTTAGAGGTTTTACATATTTTAGAATGTTAATATATTGATTTATTTGATGAATTACTACATTTCCATATCATCATAGCCCCTTTACCTCACAAACTCATTATCATAGGTATTTTATTCTTATAAATCGAAATGAATTACTTAAAAACTATTCGTTCGAATTAGGATTTTGAAATTTTCAAAAAGTTTAATCTAACTAATGATAAAATAACATGGTATGATAGCAACAATCTGAAATATCGTCGGATCTTGCACACACAATTTTATCCAGTTTACCTTATAATGTACCATGTATATACATATTAATCATGACAACAAATGAAAAGTTGAACTGAATACTGATGGTCTTCATATGAATTTTATTATATGACTTGAATTAACCGTCTCAGGTGTAATCCCCATAGTTCAGTTTTTATTCGACTACAATAATGAAAATTAGTTACTTTAGTAATAGGACACAATATAATACATATCGGGCATCAATTCGCAAATCACAAGTATCTTCTATGTCGTATTTATTCGGATGGCATCGAGATGTTTTGAAATTGGAAACACTTCTAAACATGAGCACTATTGTTAAACTAAACCGTCTCACCACCAACTTTCCCGCAATGCACCAAAGCCTTGAAAACTTACAGTCAAACATAATCATAAATATACAGATATGGGGTGGTTACTTGCAACTATATTATATTGGGTCCATACTCCATGGCCTATTATATTAAGATGCGCAAAACGTGTCGAGTGTCGACCAACACCAAACCAGACAGCGATTCCATAAAACCAGAGTCCCCTTTCGCTACTGCCATACTTCAAACAAACTATTTGTTTAGATTCCCATAATCCATTTCATACTCAAATATTATTAATATTAGATAATCATTATTATTAGGTACGTTTGGAGATTTTTTAATCATAGTAAACAATTAAAACTTGATGTATTTTACCTCTATTTCCAACATAATGATATATGTTTAACATTATTATCACAGATTCGTCATCGGTTTATTGCCGATTTGTCTTCTTTTACTATCCACTCACTGTTTAAAATCTATACCTACTATACTATTGATTAATTAGTCTGGATTAGTGGACAATTGTGATAAGTTGTGCAATAGTCGAAACATAAAAAAAACTAATAATCATGGTTGGAAAATCAAACAATTATTAATTACTTACTTCCTATTTATTGTTAATTATTTTATTTATATTCGAAGAAATGCCCACCGTTAGGTACACTGTAAAGAACATTTTACAAAAACGTTTAAAATATATAAAATACATTAGGAAACTTATACTAAAATCGAAAAAAAAATCAGAATTGGATAAGTGCTCAGTATTGAAACGTCCAATTGCATTAATTATCATTGTTGGTTTTTTAAGATTTTTACTATTGATAGTTAACAACACCTTTTGCAGCTGAGGACATAACTTACATTATGTCTTAAATGTATTTAAATATGGCTAGGTAAATTAAAATAAACAATACTAGAAAAAAATATCATGAAAAATTAACATAAAAATTTAAAAATTGTTGTTACATTAACCAATAGATTTTAAAAACGTTGCTAACTAAATTGTTTTGTTTAGTCCATATTATGTTTTATATTATACTTCGCCTAAGACATATTATTTACACTAAAAATGTTTTAAACTTTGCTATGATTTAAAGAAAATTACAAATTACAATACAGAGGTGGTAGAGCCAATTGACGAGTGTTGTATTGCTATAAATAACAAACAGTATAACTTAGAAAAAAACAGTTAGTTTTATAAAATTATTAAAAAATCCCATTTTTTAAATTATTTTTTGAAAATGATATCTTCATGGCAGCCGTCAGCATCAATATATTGTTGAAGACGATCTCACATTTGCGATTTCAGGTTGTGGTAAAGACAACTGACGGGCGTAATGGGGTCATTAGTCTGAGATAAGATAAGAGCATAGGCATGCCTCTAGTAGTTGAATATTTTAAATTCCATGGTTAGGTTTTTAGTCGTAATCATGGTCTGGACTGGTGCACATCAAGGTTTTGTGTTGCCCCCCTATATTACTGCCCCTCAAAACTCGTCAGTTGGCTCTGTCACACTCTATATTTTGCCTTATTTTTTTTGGTTATTATAAATTATTCCATTACGTTAATTTAAAAATAATGTATACATCATTGGAAATCTAAATATATTATTCCAATCGAGACGAGAAAACACGTAAATAATTGAGTGCCTATATACATTCGTTATAACTTTAAATAATTCCTTAAAAACCCTGCTCAATCCCTATCTGACTTAAAAGGTAAATGGTATTTTTATTTTCCGTCATAATACTGTTTCAAGTTGTATCCGTTGATTTACTTTATTTTCTTACTTTGATGATTTCTTTAAAACTATTTCTACTGATTTACAATTCAGGTTTTACATAAATAATAAAAAACGTAACTGACTACCGCACTCACTTTATTGTGTTAAATGTCAATTATTTTAAATAAAACTATCTGTTATTATTTTTATTCAAAAAAACACATGACCATATTGAACTTAATAGTAGTATAATACTATAATGTGTCATATTGGTAATTAAACTAAATACTTTTCCATTTTATTTACTGTCTTCGTATTGCTCAATATAAAAAAAAAGAACTGTGGGGCATTGGCTTATAAATGGAAACTTATCTGTAATATGTGGGTTACTACTTATTTTTTTATTTAACATACTTTGTGACTTTTGAGTGAACACAGTGTGAAATGTGAAAAGTAATTATTAATGTAAAACTTACTCAAAAAAAAAAAAAAATGTGTCAAAAAAAATTAAAGTCAGACTATAAAAAAGTTGAAAATAAATATTTGATTTATTTTCAAATACGTAATATCAATAATATTATGGTTTTGAATTTTCAATATTGAACAATATTATTATATTTTCACTTTGCATATTCTGATGAATTATGTGTCTACCTTTCTACCCTATTCGGTCAATGTCTCGTTATAATAATAGTGATTATAACTTAAATAAAACTTGAACTTACGTGGTTCAAAATAATATTGTAAGACATATCGTGCCTAAAAATTATATTTTGTCTGTCCGAAGAAAACACGAATCAAACTAACTATCATTAATCAGTTTTCGTACGATTTGTCGATTGTTCTTATTTCAGTCACTGTTTTTTTTCCTATCAAACGTCTTTTGTCGTTGGGTCACACACACTGATAAACTGAAGTAGGTATACCTACGAATACATTAAAACCAAACTAAAAAAATGTGTCATACACACGTTGTTGATTCTGTGCAGATGACTCAAACAAGGGGATTGGCTAAGCTTAAGTCGTGCCATGACGGCTGTCGGTAAAAAAGAGAAAAAAAATAAAAAAAATTACGAAAATCCCACACGGATCCCATATGGGGCGCGGTTATTATGCTCAGCTTAGCGATAAAGCATTTTTGCGACACTACACGCCGTTTAATCTTTCGACGTGTTCTAAGCTCATGACTCGCCCCCCCCCCCATTCGTCCCACCACACCAACGAAACCCCGACCGCGTCGGACCCGACCCGAGAAAATCGCGACGAAAATCCACACGCCGAGCAACACGGCTTTTCCGGAGGCTGCATATTTAATGCACGAAACGTGTCGGCGGCGGCGTCTGAATAAAACAGTCGTACCTTGCTATCGTCTCGCTGACATATAATATGTAGGTTCATACATATATTATATATGTATATGGTGTTATGTGTGTCTATAATATACTTATATATATATATATATTAATAGTACGCGTCCTGTCTTCTATGTATTGTTTTATTATTATATATTTATATTATATATAAGTAGCATAGTGCGCAGATGTGTGTAAAATAATAGAATATACATACATAATATGCTAGTTATATTGGTGTTTACTTACTTGGGAGGACACGGTTGGCTGTTACACTCCACAGATAAATCGCTGCCGGTTGGCCTCTCGCCCGGGCACAGATCAGCATCCACTTCAACGCCCGTGTCTCGGTTCTGACAGATTATTCTAGACATTTCGTACCCTGAACAAAACAACAGACACGAATAGATTATAATAATAATAATAATAATATAATACGCAAAATGCATTGTAAAATATATTATAATATTGCGAGTTGTATAGTTTTTATTATTGTATGATAATATTATCATAATGTCGCGTGAGACGCCCGCTGCTTCTTACTATACTACATCAGGGTATACAGAGTAAGCGCTTGTACATCCTGTGGGCAGACGCTTTTTGCCGGTGGTATATGACCAAAGTCCCAAAATAAAACATTGTTAAGAAGAATAAAAAACAACAGACATGGATTTACGGCTTTACTATACGACAAGAACAGTGAAATGATATCATTTTCAATGACACATAGTCTAGAGACAGTTGTGCGAGCATTTATTTAGGGGTGTACACATTTTTGTGTAGCACATGTTATCAGAGGTATCAAGCGACCAATATCTGGCCCGCGAAGTATTTATTTTACGATATGCGAAATACATTTACCTATAATGTAGTTAAAATAGAAAAATAATAAATTCGAATGGTATTAATATGCTAAACGAAAATCTGCTGTATTTGCATAGTACACTCCTGTGCCGAATAATTTTACCTCGGCCGAACTCGTTTACTTTACTGCTCGAAAATAACTCGTTTGGAGGAATTTGTCGGAGAAGTTTGTAAGATCGATTGTGACTAGAACTTCAGTCCTCTGCTTTCGTTTACTGATTCCGCTTGTCTGCCGAGTAACAGAGTACCCAACTATTTTCTGCCTCAAGTTCTATCACATCGTCCTCGTATATAATATATATTATTTATGCTATGACTTGGGTCCTTATTATATATCACAGATATCATGTCTAGTTCTCTTCTATGGAGTTTTGAATCTTTGTCGATGGTAATGTTTCACAGATCCAAGTTGGGATCATCTTATAGCGAGAGTGTACTTTGCAAGAGACGAATCTTTTCGTATATTATTACTTTTCGTCCTCACGACGTTTTATGAAGATCATACTTTTCAAATGTTGGCCATTTTGATTTTTAAGCAAATTTATATAATTAGATTATAATAGTGGAATTCAGATTTAAATAATTGTAATTAAAAATCAATATTAAATGCAGTGAAAAACAATATGAAACTAATCTAAACTAAAAATACATTAGATACATCTGAATATCCACGTTGACGCATATAAGAGATCCAATTAACTGCACAATAATTAAATAAATTTAGTACACTGGTCCACATTCCTACATGTAGATATCTGATGAGCGATTAAACTGTTAAGTTAAGTCAAGTGAAATACACATAACTACTTCGTTAAAAATTAATTGTTTATTTATTGAGTAATCATTTTGGGCTACCACGTTGTAAATGTAGTGCCAACACAATCAACTAAAATAGTAAAATATAGGTATTGGGCATAATAGTACGATGAAAGTTCTTCACTAAAAACATGCTGATTGAAAATGTTTGTTTGTTAATTATTCATCTATTCTGATCCGAAGTAATATTGCGTTTAAGCGCGCATTTGACAGCCGCAACTTCTAAGTGTAATGGATAGTAACGACCCTTTTCAGCGTTTTATCAAAAAGTTAATTTTATAACTACATAAATAAAATACAATGCACTACGCTGTACGCTTTAATTAACCCTTAGTAAAAAATGTAAGAGCCCATGTGAGTATGTGACCAAAACTTTTGTTTTTCGTTCTGTTTAAAAACGGACTACGGTAGGTGTTTTATTTTTATTCTATTTTTCGTTCAGCCGTTTTTATATTTTATTTTTATATAAAACTATAAAATTATTACCACGTACCGAGATTTATTCAAATTTAAATTTAAAAAAAATTAATGTCAATTAATGTATTACCTATTTGTTTTAGTTTACCTACGTGCATACCTACCAACAACAATGCTCAAACAATAATAATAATATGAGTTTAATGTGAATATGTATCGTCGCATATTGGTAAAATGCATCTGTGAAATTCGAGAGAAATACATACAATATATTACAGTACAGAATTATCTTGGTTCAAGGATCAGGTTGTTATTGATGGCGAACAGCATAAAACCCTCCAACGATACTATCCTGCACTCGTTTTACGTACACACGAAGCATATAAATCGAATCCAATATGTCTGTTGACCCTTAGTTATTTTATTAGTCAACGAGAATGGGATTTATATATACGTGTGTGTATCCGAAACAGACAATTATATTTCGAACGTCCACGGTTTGATTTAGAAGAAAAATTTTACAATGTATGTGGTAAAAAAAAGTGTAAGTGGAGAAAACAAGGCCAATGCCGACGGGGCTGACAATGTTGTTATCTGCTGATCAATACATACATATATATACACGTATACTTACGAACTTATGATATCATATCTCACCCACCCCCTCCCCGGAAAGTCACCAACCTGATTCTTCGGTGCTCGTTGGATGCGTATTTATTTAGTCAGTGGTCGTGACAAATTCGTTGCTTTATTCGGGGTCGAATTTTCAAGTAATTTATACGGAACGTCTCCCATATACAATTATTCGGAGTGGATATTTCATTTTTTAATATCGGAGACCAAAAGTCGTAAATCAGTGTATAAACAATTTTTTTTTATGGTATCATTTTTTTTAAATGTAAAAATGTAATAAATCGCTTTTGAATTTTACGAGTGAAATTAAATTAAAATATAAAAAATACAAATAGGTGAACTACACTAAGCTAAAAATAAATAATAATAGAAACATTTGAATATATTTTTCAATTTTTGTTATGAATCATAATGTTGTATGTACTGTTATAAAAGTAAGCATTATTTTTTTTAATATTTATACAATCCATACACGTTTACGCATAAAAATAATATGTGATAAGATATGAGAAAAACATTTAGGTTACACTAATATGAAAAACCTATTAGTAGGTAACACTTAACTTGGGTTTAAAGGACTTTCTCGCTAGTCTACGAGATTTTCAGAGAGTGAAAGTGAGTTTTTGACATATTCTAGGAATAAAACATTATAATGCAATTTGATCAATTGATTTTTTAATCAGAGAGTGAAAATTTCGAATAATTAATTTTGATCAAATAGGATTTCTATAAATATTTTCCACAGTGTTCATAGTTTCCAAGAAAACTGTTATACAATTTGGAAAAATTACATTAGCTCTTTCAACTGGAAGCGCAAAATCTCAAATAGGAGTAGATTCTGGGTAAATCCGATGTTAACGTTATAAATAATAATACTATGACGTATGATATAATGCAATGACTAATGACGGTCAAATATGTTCAACGTTGCGTGTAGCCACCTAACCCGTAATAGTGTGGGTGGGTCCGACTTAGATTTGGTTATCGTATTTGAATGTTATGTTCGAATTCAGACGTTCCTTTATGTTTGTAACATGTTATATAATGATATGATGTTGATTATTACATACCAACCATGTACTTTGTATTAAAGTGCGTTAAACGTGCTTGCAATAACAATGGTTTTTATTTTTATTGAACTGTCGACAAGAATTATTAAAAAGCTCGCTGTTATGGTTATGGTTATCAATTATCATACTTATATCTCCCGTGAACACACTACCTACTTTTTTCAGCCGACCCAATCTACGTATTGTATTATTCAAATGATTTATTGGAACTAATTAATAGAGTTGGCTTAACTTAATAGCCGTAAGAATTTCAACTTGTTTTACCTACTTCACTACAGTATACGAATTTAGGCAGACGCACCTAATATTCCAAAATTGTAAAGCGGTAATGTAATATAAGCAAATGTAAATATTTAATAGCATTATATAACCATTAAAACGAGACACAATATAATCCACGTGGGAAAGAAAAGTCGTTTTCATGTGATGTTTATATAAAATAATTGTAAATAAATAATTATTTATTCACGTGCGAGAACAATCAAAAAATATGTGTTCCACCCAAAAACCAACTAAAATAAACGTATCATTTTAATTTTAAAAAAAAACAGATAATATGTGATTGTATTATTCAATGAACTTAAAATGCTCTAATCTATGTTAAAGTATTGTTACCAACATTTTAAGTGGATAGGTACGTGCAATGTTTTGATTAAAAATTACCCTCGGTTCTTTAAACCCTGAATTTTTTGGTCTCTTAAACAGGTTTTCTAAATTGCCTATTAAACTTTACTTTAAAACGATTAAAAAGTAAGAATGAAAACTTGCAGACTGTAGTGCAAGTTTCAAATCACAGAAGGTATTTATTTCAATTACATTCATTAATAAATACTTATTTTTAAATTAAAATTATAAAATTAAAAGTAATGCAATTATTGTAAACATTGTTATACATATCCATCGAAATTTAAAATTTGAAAAAAAAACCTCAACGTGTATAATATAGTACTGCCCATCACTACTTATACCTACGTCCAATCGACTAGCTACATAATTCAATGAAATTAATATAACTATAGAAGAAATTTAAAATGATCAATATTACTAATAAACTAATGTTAGTTTAATACTTTAATAACATTGTAAATGTTTAACAGTTCACATCAGCTGCTATTCACCCATCATAATATTATTCAGATATTATACAATAAACATTTTTAAATTGTTTCTATTAAAAATAAATTGTTACTACAAAATATTGGATGTTATTTATAACGATCCGTTTTATATATTGTGTGCCGCTTATAAATATTTCTCAGTATACAAACGTCGCTGTATCATGCGATACATATATAGACGTGTGTGTGTGTGTGTGTGTGTGTGTGTGTGTGTGTGTGTGAGAGAGAGTATTATATGCACTCCTAAAATATGTGGATTAGTTTCCATCGTAAAAATGACGATAATAATTTATTATTTGACATCGGATGTGTATTACTGGCAAGAATAATGTACAATAAATCGTATAAGGTAAAATGCAATTGAAAAATTCTAGATGTATAATACAGTATTACTACCAACATCCATTTGTACGAGTGCGGTAATATATTATAAATGATGGTCTTAATGTACAAGAAAATCATATGACGGGCAGAGTACGTGCGAGCTGATCAATAACTCAAATGACAACCACTGAAAATTGTCTACGATCAAACTCACAAGCAAATCCATATTGGCAAATCTACCAGTTCGCAGAACTCGTAGTGGTACCGGTACATTGGTATCTAAGGGGATTGAATAGGCGATGTCTATAAATGCTGTATTCGCTAAGTATGTACATGTATGCACCATAATGGGTTCGAAGTACTTAGACCGTAGGTATATAATACAAATATTTAGTTTATACTCATGTCATGCAGGGATAATCTTTAAAAAATATTATTACTACCGCCTTCATAATAGTCAATTATAGGTATTATGAAATATGGTTAAAAAATCGTTAGCTAAAACGATTGACTGACGATTGTTAACTGAAGCATCAACTAAAAAAAACTTAAAAATAGATAAAAAAAAGTATATATTTCGGAAATAGAAAATATACCTAAAATGGAATATATTATGATTATAGTGTCAACAAAAAATATCGACAGATAAGAAGTCGACTGGAAAACGTGATAAGCGGTTTGGTATTAAAAAACATATCGAAAAAAATACTTGAATGACTAGATCAGTGGAAATTGATAAATATGAAAAATCTAATTTTATTTACAGTTTTCACATAATATTATCTAATAGAAAAATAACATACATAAAACATTTTAAATTCATAAAATATTAGGCAAACATAAATTATTCAAGAGTTAAAAATAATTTTTTTTTATTGTTCACTATACACTATAGCCACAAAAGCAATTTATAGACATACCAAATAATGTAAAATCGAAAACTAGAATATACGTGGAACATTTTTAGAAGAAAACAATTTATAAATATTTTGTTCAGTTTTTGTATCGTTAAACTAATTTTTACCCTACTCCACTACATTGCTTGGAATTTTATGAAAACAAATATACTAACCTAACCTAACCAGTTTAGTTGTAGAAATAGTACTCTACTAAGTACAGCATATTATCTCTATAAAATCATAAAGTCGGCAACAGCAGGCGAATGATTCGAGAACGTACATAATAAAATAATCGGTGTATTGGTTTAATAAATTGAACAATATTCATTGTCGGTTTCAATAGTTGTACAATATTTTTTGTATTCCATTGCAACATATGCAAATTTACTTGCACTATTTATAGTTATCGTGTAGCTAGTAGTAAAAAAGTATATATAGGACATGGGCACTATAGGAAATTCATTCACATTGAGCACGAATATAATAATATAATATATACGATAAAATGTAGTACTCGAAGAGAAACACGTTTGTATTTATACAACAAGAATATGAATATATCGTGCTTAATTAATGAACAATTAAAATGAAATTGCGGAACTGCGTAAGTGCGGTCGTTGAAGAACTCTCTGCAAAGTCATCCATGTCAAAAAAATATATTCAATTAAATGCAATGCATAAAATAATACAATCATGTAGGTGTATATTGTGATTTGTGAATAACGATGATGGGTAATGCTCAAGATAATAACATGGAACATCGATGATAATATCACATAATGTGATAACGTAATACAGATGTATTATTATCATAGCAGCCGCATACCTACAATAACCACCTTTTAACATTATCTAAACTCTAAAGTGTGCCATTTGAAGAACGGCCGCGTGCAAACGGATTCGTTATAATAATAATAATAATATTATGTTCTATCGTACACGTAGATGCGATATTGTAACCTCCATGATATTATGTACCTATATAAAATCATTATAATATACACATTATTCGAGAACCGTCGGAATACAAATGCGTTTAATTCTAATCTACAATATGTCTTATTACAATAATAGAACACAAACACGACGAGCACGCGGTTAAGGAGCTTTGCGGCGACTTTGGCTCGGATTATATTCGGCTGGGCGTTGTGCTTGGATAGGCGCGTATATAATAATATTATATAAACACGACGTGGGCGACGACGGGCGTGTGAGGGATCGGCGGCGGATGGTCGGTGTGGGAGGGGAGGGGTGGCCGGGCGGGAAGGAAGTGGCGGGGCGGAGGCATTGCGAAAATAATAGAAGAAAATAAGAAGAAAGTCATACGGCGCACTATATATCCGTAAAGAACTTCGCGCGGGGGGCATTGGAAGCCATTAATCACATCGCGGGCAGGGGCGATAAGAGGCGACCGAAAAACAGACTGCTCGCGCGGTACTAGAATTGATTAAAACGTTTTATCATTGTCAGTATTTTTCACGTGGCGGTCAAAAGCCGCCGAGACACGGCCGAACGTTATTACAGGTTCCAGAGTATTATTAGGATTATTGTTCATAATTCGGCCTTTTAGACATAATGAAATCCAACTGTCTGCCGTGCCACCTCAGCTGATGTAAGTTTGTATATTATTGTACTATGGGTAGGTGTACAAAATGCGCCACTGATGGTTGGCACCACCCTGGCGTCGTTCCTCTCCCGTGTAAGTGCCCTTATTCTGTACAGGGTAATTCACATTAACCACGCTCACCCTTTTTTTTCTTCTTTAACAATAAAGCCGTTATTAAATAAGCCTGATTTTTGGAATTTTCAAACATTGGTACTTAGAGATCATATTTTCAAAATCTTGAGATTTTATATAGAACTCAAAGAGCGTCCAGCCGTTGAGATACAAACAATTATCATAGTTATTTATTTATTTTTCTGTAAATTTTGGTGTATCAAAATAATTCGATAGATCAGTTTTTGAGTTATTTAACATTGTGCCCTAAGGTCTAAGGATAATATGTCCTCGGAAAATACGGGGACTATGATGTTTTGAACATTTCAGTACCTAATATATATTAATCCATCCATATTTATAAATTGTAAAAATTTTCCATATCTATATATTATACTAAACAATAGACACCAGAACTAGTATTCCATCTGTTTAATCTTTTTGTAAATCAGTTTTTATTTTATTATCCTTACTAAAAAATCATTTTAATAACTGAAAACTAGTCGGTTGAATTTTGAATTTGGTAAATAAAATATGCAAACAAATTATCCCCCAAATAACTTGCAGTAAAAAAGTGGGGGGAGGACCCTCATTTGAAAAACAGAAGTTTGTATGGCCACCGAGCACTCCTCAAGTAATACGAAAAATCTCAATAATTTGAAAATAATATAGTCTTTTAGTAAGTAATAGGTATATTTAAAAATTCCGAAAATCCTTCATTGAAAAATAAGATTGAGCATGGCTGGTGAACCACCCTGTATATTCCATCCAGCGCGTGCGATAATAATATTATTACGACCCCGACCCTGACCTGAGAGTATCTGTGCTCGTGCGCGCACACGATCATCATAATATGACATAAACCGACGGCCGACAAATCGGCACCACTGGAAAACAGTGTCTTATCAACATGGTGCGAGAAAAAACCCACTCATGCACAACTTGTCTTGTGAAATCGTTACGATTATTGTTTAAGAATAAACTGAAATAGTACAATTGGTACTCCAACATCATATCGAACATAGGAAAATTATTTTTCACTTAGGTACTTAAGACGAAAAAAAATAATATGAAATTTGAACTTTTTGTGGTGATGCCCAATAACACTAATATTTATCTCAATTTTCCATGGTTTAAATAACCATTTGAAATTTGGTAGGAGGGGTTTGAGTTTAGTCATTTTGAAGATTCGAAAAAGTTTTTTTCTAGAGGTTTTGTATTGAGTTTCGTAGAAAATGACATCACTATGTCTTTAATTATAGCATCATGATTTGATTGAAGCACTTGTCTTATAATAACCATTATTCAATTATCATAGCGTGCGCAAACCAGTAATAGGTACATTTAATTTCTTTCTGTGCCCAAACGAGTTCCAATGTTTCAGATAAAATATTTAAGATTCATTGAAATCAGGTTGCAGCCGATGTATATCATATGAGTATATGACCTATAGAAAAAACAAAGACTTTTTCGTCGAGTGACATTTTCTACGAGTTTGACACGAATTACCAAGTTGCTGACCGGTAGCCGTATAATTTGGTAATGGTAAACATAATATTACTACTGGTAAACAGTATTATTCTCATTAAAATTCTCATAAAAGTATTTAAGTAAATATAAGCTGTTTTGAACTGCTGCGTGGTAATTTTTTCATTAACTTTTAGACCATACTGAATTTTATTAATTTCTGAAATTTTTCTGAGTAATATTTTTCAATGTTCCTATTTTCTCCTATGTTCCCACTTCGTAAGTTATATCTTGTATCGTAACCCCGATTGGTCTTTGTTTGAACGGTTTCAATAATTATTATCATGTATAGGTTTAGAGTCCAGATAGGTTCCTCCCACGGTCACAATTAGTTATCAGTCGAAATAAGTACGAACGGTTTCAACTTGTAAGTATCAATAAAATTGTCTTGTAATGAAATGACTGCATGTCTAATTTATTATCAGATTCAACGGGCTGACCATACTTCTAGTTGAAAATACAATTGAATCATTTTTTGAAGATCAAAGAATAAATAAATAATATATGATCCGTATACCACTATCGTTATTATAAGAAATTAAAATATCAAAATAAACTAATAATAATAAATAACAATAAACACCTATTGGCCAAACTTCATTTTACTGTTTTATACGGTCACGCCGGATAAAGGATTGGAGCGCAGGAACATTCTGATATCTGTGCAGTATTATTTTACCACGTGAGAAGTTCAGAATGAAAATAATAAAAAGCGTTTATCTCTGACCGCCTACAACGTATAACTTCAAGGAATAAAAATACATTTTACGTCTCCCATGTACATCACCAGCGGCACACGCATTGTAATATAATATTTAATTCATTAATTTCTTGTACAACTCGTTTTAAATTTTTACGGCCGTCAGCCACACTCACCTCCGCCGCAAGACACCGAACAGCCAGTGCCTATTTTGCCCCAGTGGTGTAGGTCCTTGGAACACGAGGTACCATCTCCGCCGCAGACTCCACACTCGTCCACGCTGGCTTTTGATCCGATTTCTAAATTGCAGCCGACCCTCTGCGGACAATAATATAACGTACGCGATGCATTAACACACATACATGGTTTTCGTAGATGGTCAACTAATTATTACTGTCGTAAACATGTTAAAATAATATGTTACGGCGAGGAACTGCTTTAGGGCTTTTGGACCTAAAAGTCGTATAACATCATTAAATTATACGATGTACCTAATTGTAAATAAAAACCGAGTCATTAAATATAAAATACTTATGTAATCTGCTAATTTAATTTTAGCTGTTCACTGTAATCTTTCTTTTGTTTTCTCCAATGACCGTTTCTGCTGTTGATGTACTTTTAAAAAATGAACAGAGAGTGGTCCACATGTTGTCATAGTGAAATGGAATTCATTGGTTCAAGCGTGGTTTTTTTGAATTATCATATTATTGTAGGTTAGGTTAATGGTTGAGTTTAAAATCCCATTATCTACGTCATTGACATTGATTCGTACTGGTTTGATTCCAACGACAATCACGTGAAAACAAGGCATAACTTTTTCGCAATATTTAATCGCGACTAGCTTACTACGGTTTTGACAATAACGAAATTACAATGTAATTCAATCGATCGTTTGTATGTATGAAGAACTATTTTTTCTATTACTGTACTCAAATTTCGAGAGAAAAGGTTAAACTACATAAGCATCAAAAAAATAAAAATATATGGAATCTCCTAAGTACAGTATTTTGATCATAAGTCCATCGATGAAACTTATAATGGTACTGTAATTAAAGACTTAGAACTAAAGCGGCACTTAGGATTAAATATGTACTATAAAAAAGTATTGTAAAATTATTATTTATTGATAAACGTGCATATAGACTATGTAAATTTCGAGAGGTGCCAATTTTGATCTCGAGTGTTCTCATAACGTCTGAATAATTGAGCATAGAATCATAGAGAACCAGTTTACATATTATTTAGGTTTTTTTTTTAAATAATCAGCTTTATTGCGCTTTATTCTCAAGTCCGAACTCTGGCTTGACGACAAACTATTAATATGCGAATCAACGCTCAAACCTATCTGGGCCTATGCCATCAAAATATAGGGATGTGTCAAGCGTTTCCAAATGCGTACTATCTAAACCTCCCAGTCTATTTCTCTTTGTAAAATAACATCTGCACCATGGAACGTCTCAAACCTCTCGCTACACACAGATTTAAAAATCGAAACTATCTAAAAACTAAAGCTAAAAACAGTTACGAAAAATTCCTCGTAAAATCAGCTTACCACACAAACCCATTAGTATCTAACTTAGAGAGTGAATTCTTCCCAAACAACCCCACACGTCGATTAAAGATACACTGGTGTCAAGATCTTCTGAATTCCGCCCTGTATTAATTAATTTAAAAAACTTCTATCCCCCCAAAGTCAGAGTGTGTCTACACTGGCGGGCTTCCATCCACATGTAATGCTATGTATTTATTGATTAGTTATTAGCAAATTTACTTACTATAGATAAATATTATAGATTTTGTAAATACACGTTTGTCTTAAAAAAAAAAAATAATAATAAAAAATAAATAAATAATCAGCTGACATCTTGTACATGTCAAGTCGTCAAGTCAGGTGCATTAAGTAGAGCGAGTGTTTAAACAAACAGTTAGTATTTTATTATTTATACAATTTGAAAATCTCCTCTTACTATCTGCTAGTCGTCACTCAGGTAACAGTTAAAATTAACTTACTAATTTTTTTGAACTAAGATAGTTTAATATTTTTTGCATGTACCTAATTTTTGAATATAATAGTGCATATATGGTGGCACGTAGAATTGGTGGGATGCCCTATGGTTGTAGCACGTCAATTAATAAATTAACATTTTTATACCTAATATTTGTAACAGATTTGATATTATTTTTTGTCTTTTGGATAGATACTAAATATACTGTTAAATTTATCTAAATTATTAGATTCAAACTGTATTATTATTATGAAAAATGTGTTCCAATTTTGAATAGTTCTATTTTTAGTCATTAGTGGTTCATGACTGGCGCATAGAGAACAAGAGTGGTACGGGGAAAAAAATTGTGAACATCTCTGAGCCTACACTTCGTATATTTTAATTTATAACAATTTACCTAATACAATGCATAATATATCAACTGTACGCCGTTTCCGGATCTCACCTGACACACGCCGTCGATGCACATGTCCAACGAGCCCAGCCTGCACCTGGTGCCATCTCGCACCCTCGGGGCCATTTCTTCCACTCGGCCTTTGGAGTCGACGCACATTAGCGTGCAAGGGCTCTCCTCGTCGTAGTAAGGGTGCCATTCCACGGTCTCGCCGTCGTATGGCTGGTCGTTGTATGCCGAACACTGCACCGCTCGGAAATCCAAACCGTCGGGGCACGGCTGCGGCGGACACAATAAATTAATAAAGAAATGTACAATACCTACAATATTTTGATAGGTAACTTTATAATATTTTAATAACCTTTTAACAAATAAACCAAAATGGTATCGACGAAATATTAGCGTGCAATTATGTGGTTATTCATATTTTAGGGTTAGGATGTTTATGATTTTGAATGTTTTTAGATTGTCCTATTGCACATATTCTCAGATAGATAGAAATTTGTTTCACTTTGTGTCTAGATCAAAATATAAAAAAAATTTGGCATATATTTTTGATTTTTTCTGGTTTAAACGATTTGTTCTGTGGTTTTCGAAACCAAATAGAAAAATAGAAAAAAAGAAAGGCAGTTAATATAAATTGAATGAAAGTTTGCATATTATGTGTATTTTACACATGTATATTATATAAAAACTATTGCTTATTAGCAAATGCTTATTCTATAATGTTATTCAAAGATAGACATGGAATGTTCAATAGGTCTCGTCGATTGTAACAATCAACTAGAAAGTCGTTGGTCCAGACCGGTGTAAAATGATCCCATATTATCCAGTATTGGTATTTTGAACCATCAATGATATATTGATATGGTGCACTGGTAGATCCCAGTTCTTTTTTTCACACCAGATTGAGAGAGCGAAGTCGTTCATGAAGAATGTTCATAATTTGTTGTCAACGTAACTCACTTAATTAATAAATCGATATTCAGTTTAGATTTACTTCTAAGTATAATTAATAATTATGTATTTTTTTTTGTAAAACACAATTTTTAATTTTCATTCAATACCTAATTAAAATACTAACATTTGTCATGCATATTTAGCTATTTTTCGGTGCATATAAACATCCTAGCCCTAGTTGTTATTATTTAAATATTTTGTCTTTGTATTGATAATGTTTATTTTTTTATGTTAGGTCTTTAGGCATAGCTTCAACTTAATGATTAATTGTTATTTGTATACTAAATTATTATTACCATAACTTTTACCAAGGTGTACATGATACTAACGACTATAATATGACGTATTTGTATTCGTAATAGTTATACAAATTGAATTTATTTCAGTACAAATAAAAAATAAATGAATAAAAAAATGCCAGGGACCCGAAAGAACGACGACGGTTTGAAATAGCAATTATTGTTCGCGAGTGCGAGAGATGGTTTTGACGTCTCGCAATAGGTTGAAAACACCCGGAAAAGTCACGAGGTCTTTGTGGAACGAGTCCACTTTAAAATCGCATTCGATCACGGTTGTCGTCGTCGTTGCGCGTGTTTCCAGGCTGTCCCCACCGGTGCCACGAAATTTACGACTACCCGTAATGGTGTTTGAAACTAAAGTGTATTATATACATGTACAATGTACAATATTTCTTTTGCACGTTAATCGATATTTAAAAAACAATTTGTATGCGTACAAAGGAAAAACATTCGAAACAATGGAATATGTATTAAAATGGATTGAACGTGTGTATAAAATGCAATACACTATATATTATATTGTACGCACCATATTATACTGTAGTGAGTTGTTTCAATCTTAAGACGAATAAGTTCTCTTGCGTATAAATCACGATGTTAAAGACAAAAGTGAAAAAAAGTTGGTTCGTTTACACGTTTTTCGTTGTAGTGTGCGTACAGCGAAATTAGTTTACACAAGTCAATACACGGCCTTATCGAAAACAAGTTGATTTTCAATTTTTTTTTTAGATATCTATTTTTGAACAAAATTCAAGTTCAATTATTTCATAGTACAAAATAATTACAACCTGCAGCATGCATCATAACATTGTCATCAGCCGTTGTAATAGTTTACTTTTATTATGCAAAGGTTATGATGTGCTATTGTCAAATACGATAACCGAAATATCAAAATATATTAACATTTATTATATAACTTGTTACCTGAAATTATATGCATTTACTATTATGACGAACAGTGGTAGAATAATTGATTTTTCAGAAATGTTTGAGTAAAAAATATGTTTTTTATATAGGTACCTACAATAGTGGAGAATATAAATGTTTATACAATGTTTTATATACATTGTATTATGATTGTATTATAATGTATATTATATGTTTATATTTATGTAAGAATATTTACAATTAGAAATAACTGAGAACTTAAAAGACGTAAAGTTGAAAGTTGAAAATGTTTTGTCTTTAGGTACCTACATACTACGATTAACAAAGGGTTAATATAATATGGTACACTTTAAAACAATTCCAGTAAACTCTACATGACTATTCCAATGAATTATTTGTGTATGAGAGCTCAAGAAGATGACGACTTAAGCCGTACTTTAAATTTGAACTTTTATCAATAATTCATCAAAGTTCATGTGCAAAATAACAACAAAATCTTTATTTTACACTATTTCACACCATTCAAACAAAACGTTGTATTATAAACCAGACAAGTTTCTTATTAATGTTGGTTTTTTCTTTTCTACGTCGTAAAACCAACTCAAATAATATGTATAGTTATATTTGCACAATTTACACTAAATTTGTAAAAACACGGACTATGGTTCTTCAAAATGGCTATGGCTATTCAAATACAAAATAAACATAAAAAATGTCGAAAGATTAAGACAAAAACAAAAAAACCATCTATAGTGTTGTTTTATGTGATGAATGTATGACTACCGCGTTCAATTGTAAATCGAGACAATTTTTATAAGTAACAAAAAGAAATAAAAGCCGATTTATTACACGATCATTGTCATTAAAAATGAATAAATCCGGTATATTGAAGTGTATCAGGCTCTATACAGTCTAGACTCTAGACACTTGTATTATCAATAATTCAGACATAATTCGTCTGTCGAATAATAAATAATAATAACAATTCTAAAAATGATTGTAGTAGGGCTTGTTCGTATGACAATCGTAATAATATTGCCTTTAGCCTTGTTTTTATTTACAATTAATTATTATTGGGTCCAGAACAAAATAAGTATTATTCAATCATACTTATACAAGACCAAATAAACCTAACGGCTAAATGTCATCAAAAGTCAACAATGACATATTAATTTTTAAGCCACATCACAAAATAAATTATATTAATTATTCATTTAACCACATTCTAATTCCGTGGATCATGCACGGAGAAACGTTTATTCAAACTAACATTTCCGTAAATAAAAAAACAAGTTAATATAAATGTTAAGTAGACGCTACACATACTCAAGTTATCTCCGTCATATAAACAAATACTTAACATAGTAGCAAATATTATACGTTCAAGATAATCCATTTCACTCTGTTATGTTAAATGTCAGATCGAATTGACCTATTATAAAATTAAAAGTAAGAATATAACCACATGATCTCGTAAGTTTTTTTTGTATTTTTATTTTAAAGTGTGTCAGATCATTTTAAAATTGTAATTTCTCTGTAAATTATAAAATTCTCATAGTGCTCATTAAAATTAAAATGTAAAAACCTATGCGGGTCACTGGATAATATACTTACCTAGTTATAAATATTATTATAGGTCATAGTTTTTTTTTCATCCCACGATAATATTAATTCCATTAAAGTTAACTATGTTCGTTCTAAATAAAGGCTTAAAATAGGAAAATATGTGTTCGGACAACATTGATTTTTCGAATATTATATTATACAGAAGTATAACTCAAGAAAAAAGTCAATCAATTAAGTCAGTATTTCCAGCACGGCGAAATCATATCAGCTGAACTGTCTATATTCGTACCGACAAGTATAATATTAACTACAGATCGATCTCAGTTTAATTCCACGCAATACTCAGGGACCGCAGATTAAAACAAATGATTTGGTTCCAATAATAATGAATCCACCTGCTCTTGTAGATTACCTTTTGAAATTAATATCGTGCATTATACACGCTGTCGGTTTTGTAGTATAAGAAATGACGTACAAAACATATTTGTGCACACTGCCGGGGAAATGGATGCCAAAATTACAACGAGCCAAACGCGTAATGAACGACGACGACCCGGAACACCCATACTCGGAATTAAATCATTTAGACTAAGATTGTGCGGCATCAGTTTGTGGCGAAGAGCATTGTTGAAAATTAATCCAATATTTTTTTTTGTCAACCGCAGTTTCAAACTTATTGCTATATTATACACGTTATTCAAATGATGATTGCATACCGCGATTATCTAGGTAAACACAAGCACCCTGTAACCTGTATGGTAGTACAGTTTTTAGTCTGTACCTATGAGATTCGTTGATAGGAAACTATTATATGTAGGTAACCATGAAGGTATACGTAATTCTTAAATTGGGGTAGGGGAAGTACTCCTTATTTTAAAAAAAAAATATTAGTGTACCTCTTCCAATTATATTTTAAATCCTAATCAATGAGAAATTTAAATCTTTTGGAATGCAATTTTTTTTAATCCCCCTTCTATTTTTTTTTAATTCCAAGCACCGCATGTGTGTATGCAATTAAATAAAATATGAGAAATAACATTATAGTAATTTAAAGTCTCATATTATTATCGATGTCTTAACATATATGAGGGTAAATTATTATTTCTTATGTACTATATTTTATTTCAATATTTTATCATAATAATATTTGCTAACTTTTACGGTGCTATTTGTAAATCACACATAAAAATAAACTTTGTTATTATTTTGTGAATGGTAAAATGCTACATTTTTTTCCTGTGCTGTTAATCATTATCGTTGAGTGGAAATAAAGTGAATATAGCGTAATAGTGCAATGAGAAAATGTCGAGTCTTTATAAGTTCTAACAAACTTGAATTATTTTGTATTATCCAGAAGAAAATTATCTATTGCCATACTATTTCTAATAAATTACTCTAATTTAAGAAAATTCACGTTCAAGAGAAATTTTTAAAATAAGCTGCTTTTTTACAATAGTTATTCCGACGTCACATAAAGACTGGTTTGTTATTTAAAATATTGTTACGAAAACTTAATTATAAAATTACTTAAGTGCATTACTGCATAAGTACAACCGTTATCGAATTACCTCCATGTTGCAGATTTTGTATCTGACGTGGTGACCTTTACAGCCGACCACTGCATTGCACCTTCGTAGTTGATAAGTGGCTCCGCCATCGCACGTTCTCGAACACGAAGACCAATCGGACCAAGGTGACCACGAGTTCTCATACTATAAAAAAATACGTATTTATCTCTTGACCAGTACAAATTGACTATCTCATATGTATATATTCTAATACCTATGGAAAAATAATACTTTATACCTATATTATAGGTAAACGTCTATTAAATAAATAACATCAATCGTGATGTTTCATATTCTGAATCGATATTTTATTATTTTAGTATGTGTAGTCACAAATAGCAAAACAACATTAAAGATAGAGATTGACTCGTAGAAGATAAGTATCGTAATTGCTGAACCTTTCTGGGTATTCCGCAATGAAACCCAAATTATTAATTTCTTTCAACATTAATCGTAACATTTTTAATCAAAATTTGAATAATAATAATTTTTCATGTTGAAATTAGTTGTTTTTGAGGTCAGGTTTCTTAAGTTCTTCGAAAATGTTTAAAAACATCTTAATATTTATTAAAATACGAAATTATATGTAAAGTATAGTTAATTTCGTGTAATAATTCATTAAAATATTACAATGTCGAAATATGCACTAATAGTGTTTGATATTATTTAATATTATCAATCTCTATGCTATAAACCAATTTATTTGATTAAACTTATAGCATATCATACGATCAATCAGAATAATAAATTTTATAACTTATGTTGCAATAACTATGTTATTTACAACTTCGCACTCTTATTATAAGGTATCGTACCAGTGGCATATTTTTTTTTTGTTTTTTTTGGGGCGGACTTGCCCACTCAGTGGCATATATATTTATGGAGGCACTGCGTGTTTGCATAACATTATATAATATTATATTCATAACATATTAACTACACAAACATCGTACACATTTATTTCTTTCCAAATTCTGATGAAAAGACTTGCATCTCCCACTTCCCCTGCATACGCCACTGTACCGTACAATATGTTTTGTTAATATTATAATATAACAATATTATAGTTTAGTATGCAGTGATGAAATATATTTATAGTTCTGTATATGGCTATAATATAATAACACACCAGAGGGTAATTCACCGAGCATGTTCACCCCTATTATTTCCTTCATTATGCATTCATTCAAATCTGACTTATAATATTTTTGAATACATTTGAAAATATGGCTTTTAACCTGCTTAAAACTTCTAAAAACCAGAATTTCAATAAATCCTTTTTTAAAGAAAAATATTTTGCGCCTGAGCATACTGTTGATGTGTCACCCTTTATATCGTTCATCACATATCACAATATTATTATCCCTCATATTATAATAATTATAATAACGATATTGTTGGTATAGTGGCATAACAATACGTTCCTGTTTGTTTTAATAGTAATATGTTTCCAGCTATTTATATACTATATATATATACATATATATATTTTGTCGAATTAAAATCGTTACGTATAACGCTTCAGATATACCTACCAGACCTATACACTGGAGAGATGCGACATAAATTAAATATTGCAGAAATACGCCCGAGAGAATCGATTAGTGCCCCATTTATAATTTAGTCATCAGAACAGTCCAAACTTCAAATGTGACGCGTTGTCGTATACGCGCACTTTATATACCCACTGTCAACTGCTGCCACTGTATATGTACCTACAGTATATAATTTATATATATATATACAGTTACATCACCGTGACTCTGAAATTCGTCCCAAAATACGCTTCAGGTGTATAGTAATAGTAATAATACTATTATTATTATACGCGTAGGTTGCGAAATGAAATATGCACGTAAAAACAGGAGCTTACGGTGACGATAATAATATAATATTTAATGCCGGAAAATGGGAAAAAAATCTCGTTAATGAATCCGATGTGTCTGTAGGTATATTATCATAATATAGCGTATACCTAACCTACGAGTATATTATATTCCGTGTGCGCTCGGGCGAGAGAAAAATATAAATACCGTAAATATTAATACTCGTATATATTACAACCTAGTATACCTGCGTTATAAAGGTCGATGTAAAAAAAAAAAAAAATAACTGACTGCAGAGGCACATTTATATAATATTAAATTTAATAACATGCTATAATGGATATTAAAACCTTAACACGGCTTAACTGCGAACGAACTACGAACGCGCATATACCTATATGGCAGTATTATTCATATATATATATATATATATATTTTATGGATTAGAAATGAATTACTTACGTCGTCCATGTAAGACGTGTTCGAGTTTGCGGAGTCCCAAGCTCTGACCGTCGATAGTATTAACTGAAAAATAAAACGGAAAACGTATCATAATAACATAATAAATAAATAAATATAATAATAGTAATAAGCACAGTACCAAAAAAAGTTAAACGCGCGTAAGTAAAAAATGTATTTTCTTTTCGTATATGAGACAGAAATCGCATCGATAAATAATTTTTTTCCTCAGTTGCCGGAGGAGCTTCGGTGTAAGAGCAAAGTTTTCGGTTGTACGGGGTGTACCACGGCTCTGGAAAAAGTATGCCGAGTCACAGGGAACAATAAAGAAGGGGAAAACAACTTTTTCTCTCTATTTTTTTTTTCACTCGCGTATCGGGGAAACATATATGATATGAAGACAAAAAATATATTTTATGATCGATGTGCGATACACGTGTAGTGCGTGCGGCGGTGGTAGAAATTGTATTATATTCGCCATCCGATTTGATATTCCAGACGGAAGTAATATTTATTGCTGCTCGCGCGATCTCCAGAAAATCCCGAAACGGCATCGCGATGTCGCCGCCGCCGAGTAATACACCGTATCATCGACCCAACGACACATAGGTGTGTCTCAGTTGTATTCTGTGTACAAACATTTTAATATAATAATACTTAAGTCGTCTCTTAGATCACAAACGATACTAATCCGTCCCCAACACTCTCCGTTTTCGAATCAAAAACATCCTCCACGTTGAATCGAAATTTCTTGTATACAAATATATATTTTATAAGCCCAGGGATTGAAAATTTTCGGTTTTAGTTTTAATTTCAATTTATTTGACTTATTGATATGTTTTTGTATTTTTTTTTTAAATTTAAATTTAAAATAAAATAGTATATGATTTTATGATTTTATGATATTGTACCACAGCAATGATTAAATTGTTTTATAATTATTTAAGTTTTTTAAACAATCATTTTTTAGATTTAAAGAATAAATGTAATACGTTTTTATTTATATTCTTAATTACGAGATGCCTGTGCCATTCACTTGTTCCATATTCATCGTTATGCGTGACAGTGAACTGGCCTAGGAAAAATAAATAATTACTTTTTATTACTTTTTAAATTTAACTACTGATGAACAATATTATGAACCTATCATCTGTTAAAGAATTTTAGATTTTAATCAGTTTTTTCTGTCCGATTACTCGAAATCATGGGACAACAAACAAATGCTAAAAACGAGTAATACTTTAGAAAAAACTGATTTATATTGATATTAATAACAACTATTTTAAAAGAAAAATAATACAAAATTTTAATTTAAAAAAAAGAAGTAGTAATCGTTGCTGTTAATTTTTAAGTTAAATTTAAAACGATAAAATAATAAAAATCTAAAATTGTAATTTGAGTTTGCTGTTTTATAATAATATCATTGTAATAATATAGTGTGATTTAACGACTTTTAAATAAAAAAAATGAAACATTTATACAATTACATATTTTTTTTTGTGCTTTCATTTTATCAGTTTTTAACAATTATTTTTGAAATGTCCGTAGGTAGCTGTATAATTTATCGTTAAAAAGAAAAAAATATTAATGCAATTAAACAATAACCGGACTACTGTTTTTCTTAATTACAACAGTTAGGTACCGCGCTATAATTTCGACGAAACATTAGTATATTGAATTATATTAAGGGGATTTCATACACCCGCTTTTTAAAAGTTCGTAAGTATGTAATTTAAAAAAATTAAAACCCAACAATTATTAAAATATGTGTTGAAAACATTTAGAACGGAACAATAAGCGAGTGGTCCCAATAAGTCGGTGTAGAGGTACCTACCGCTCTTGGCACACTAAACAAAATAATAACTGTTTTGTGTTAACTAACTTCTTTCAATTTAATATATTGAATTCATATTATATTCATTTATTCAGTGAAGTGCTTTTGTTGTGTAGATATAAAGCACAACTCGAGTATTTCATTAGATTAAGCATGAACTTTAGAAGGTAGGTAGTACATTTTTTGCGAATTAATTATAAATTTTATAGTATTGAAAAATAAAAACAGCCCCAAAGTTAAAGTTCTGTTCCGTTTATGGAAAAAACCACGAACGTGTTGAGGACAATTAGTGATACAGATATTCATACACGCTTGGGTGTTTATACTGTTTATACACACTTAAAATATACAAAATTTAATTTGTTCACTTCCAATTTTGTGTCTACACCTTTTTCATGCCGAAATCCATTACTGGCCAGATCAGCAGCTGCAGTAATTATAATAGCTGCATAATGTTTTATTGTTTTTTTATGCATTATTCGAACTGTATAAACTACAAGAAAGTAAATACTAAAAGTGAATAGCACTATATAATGATGTAATTATTTTGTCTTTCAGCAAAAAATACATTTCCATTATCATACACATTACACACCTTCACAATGTCTTGTGCATATTTTCGTTTAATATTGTGTATTATTTACTGCTTATATATGGCTGTTGTAATATATAGATTAGGGGCATACGCGACTTTTGGATCGGACCGCGATAAATGTTTATTGGTGATACATAATAATATTATGCTATGTTCGCGGCGTTTAATTCCGAACGAGAGATGAGCGCCAGCTTCACTGTTGTACGTGTACGTATTACACCATTCAAAATATTATAATATTATAGTGTAGATAGAGAGAGAAACGTTCAAACGTATATAACTATGTACACGTTATAGAACACACAGGCACAGTGGTTGAGTGTACGACCGGTGTAAGTTAGCACCGCACTAATCTTATTTATTAGCATTATCCCATTTCTCTCTCCTATTCAGCTCTCGAATGATTTCAGTAACAGTGCTCTCGTCAATTTGAATTTAATTGTGTAATACACCATCACTGCCGTCGCCACTGTCAGCCCCACCCGTGTGTTTTATACGCACCACAGTAGCTATGGAAGTTACTTTTTGTTTATTTTTTTAACTTGTAGAAAATACTAGTTAAATAAAAAAAATACCTGAACTAAATTAAAACCAATCATATATATTTTTTTAAACTGAATAAATACAACCTACATTTATGCCAAAGCACATAATAAGCAGATTTGTTAAAAGTGTAAGAGGTACAAACAAAACAAAAATAAATAGTAAAATAATACATAATATACCTAAAGTAATATTCGAATAACAAATTTACTCTCTTCAAGTACAGGACTGTAATACTTTTTAATTTTTGGTTATTACTATTAGGTATCTGGGTATCATCGGACCTCTATTATTTTGATAATTGCTAAGTACATACTTATTTTATATTACAACTATTGTATGAAAATTAAAAATTACAATAATAGAACCCAATCAATCAACTATTATATGAAAACTAAGTATATACATAAGTATTGCTGGAGGCTTATGTAATAACAACATTAATAAAACATTAAAAACAAATAAATAAACATTTTTTTCATTCTCATATTTTTACTCTATTAAAATTTGTTTCTCATATGTTAAGAGATAAATTGCATAAAATAAAATATACTGATTTCATTTTTAACTGTTAAATATCTGGAGAGAGGGTGTTAGATAATTTAAAAATAAATATCATTTCCTAAATCATGATCTCTGTTAAATATCAAGCCGTTAAAAATAATTATAGACATGCCACCGACACACTACATTTGATGAACCACCCCTAAACCGTTCTAGTATCAGAGCGGAGTGGAGAATTAATTTATTTTTTTTGCTTATCAATATGTGAGTACCTCTAGTTATAAACATAAAGTTACAAAATTAATAAAATGTGTAAACTATATGACTGCTATTTACAACTCCCTAAAAGCAAATCGATAACGTTTTAAATGAGATGCACCTACGCTGTACATAATATTATATATTTTTTATCCTTTTAATTAAATTGCAAATATTTCACAATATAATACATACAGTGTTTTGTGTACCTGTTAAGTATTATATTATCAGATATCAGAGATCACCATTGGTGTATAAAATCCATTTCCTTTTTTAGATCAAGCTACATACGTTCCTAGTTAATATTGAAATTATATACAATATATACATATACATCATTATTCAAGTATGCTCAGTGGTATAGTTACGTCCTTCACTTGTCCACCCTAACTCTTCAATGAAAAATAAACATTTAAAATATTAGCCAATAATAAAATGATGTTATATGATCGTCCGGTTGATATTTCAATGGATGTGTAAGTAATTATTTATTAAGATCATAATTATTTCTCCTCGTTAATATAGCTTTGAAATCCTAAATGAAAAAATAATTGTATGTATTTGTTTAAAGCTTCCATAAAACACTAAATATAACTAAATATACAAAATAATAATTCAGCTATCATTCACATTAAATGTTTAACTATGCATACTTCATTAAAATTATTATTTTTGGAAATTTTAAAATGTTTTTATAAATGACAACTTTTTAAATATTTAGATTTGAACTTAGATGATTCAAACATTTTTTTTTAGTGGAAATTGTTAAGCAGATGATTTTTTTTAGATTTTGGAGAAAGTGCATACTACATAAATTGAAACTCAAAAAATTAGTTTTTTGAGTTATTAAACTTTATGTAGGTACTAAGGATAATAATCCGTTATAATAATATAGACTTAAAAGATATAAGGACTATGATATGGTTTTTAAATTATAGTAGTTAATATATTTATTAACATTTTATAATTTGTAAAGGAAAGGTCATAAGTACTGTAATAAATATTACATATATTTTATGTCTTATTTTTGGGACTTTTAGTTCTTTGTACATATAAAGTTTAAAAACTTAAAATCTGCTCATTTAAATTTCGATTAAGATACAACAATTTTTTTTAAAAAAAATCGTTTACCTACTCAACAACTTACAGTAAAAAAGACAAAATCTCTTTTAAAAAATAAAGCGTTTGTTATGACACAAGACACTGTCCTTAAATGGTATAAAAATTGAAGTATTTTAATATTAGTACCTCTCGGTAATTAAGATTATATTATTTTATAAATTCCAAAAACCATAGTTTGAATTTAAAAGAGAGTGGAGAATGGAC